AACCAGCTATTAACCAGAGGTTCCCAGGACCTGCTTAGGTTTGAACACTGTGTTCGAGTAGCTCACAGGACTCAGGAGAACAGTTTATTTATTAAATTACCACTTTCTTACAAAAGGATATATCTCAGGAAGAGCCAGATGGAAGAGATGCACTGGGCAAGATATGTGGGAAGGGGCGTGGAGCTTTCGGGCCCTGTCTGGGAGCACCACCCTCCCAACACCTCCACACGTTCAGCAGCCTGGAATCTGTCCAAATCTTGTAGTTCAGGGATTTTTATGGAACCTTCCTTATGTTGACATGATTGATTAAATCACTGGCCGTCAGTGACTGATTTAACCTCCAGTTCCTCTCCCCTTCACCTAGGAGGGTAGGGGGAGCAGCCTGAAAGTTGCCAACACACATCACTGTGGTTGGTTCCCCCCACAACCAGCTCCTGCCCATCCTTTCAGGTTCTCCAAAGGTCACCTCATTAAAAACTCAGGTGCAGTTGGTTGAAAGAGGCTCATTATGAATAACAAAAAACTCCCATTTCATCTTTATGGCTACGGAACTGTTTCAACTTTCAACTCAGAACAAAAATTTTAGCGCTATAGGAACATCTTTTGTTATAAAGCACAAGAGTTTTAGGAACTATGTGCCAGGAACAGGGACGAAGGCCAGATACAAATTTCTCTCATAAAGCACAATATCACGATGATAAACTGTATAACAAGGTTTCAGTCGCCTGGATGCCATCCTCTTAAATGTGGGCAGACTTCTGGCTCCTTGCACTTAGAAAGGAATGTTAATACATGTGTTCAGGAAAAAGTATTTATTTGACACCTTTACAAAAATATTTAGGCACATAATTTTCATGTTTATGTCACCTGATTTATATATCTCAATCCTTAGTACCTTTTAAAACACTAAAATGGTCATTTCGTAAATAGGATCTGTAGTGAAAAATACTGTGATAAGCCAACATTTGTAGACAAAAATCAGTTGATCAGCATGAGAAAGAAATATTTATGAACAAAATAATCTCTAAAAACATTTTTGTGAGTTAATAAATCTAACCAGTAGATTTCTTTTTAAAAAGTAATTCAAAAAGAAAGTTTAAAAAAACCCACCAGTGAGTGTCTCTTCTTACCGTCACGAAGTGGCACCCTCACGCAAGACCTAGCAGACCAGTTCAGAACAGAGTCGTGGCGCCAGAGGCTCCCAAACCCCAACCACCGAGAGCTGTGCTGACTCAGACGCGGCACGGAGCCAGTGTTTCACTCGGAAAAGGGAGGAAGGAATGTCTGGCCTGTGGAGCCCGTAGAGGAGCTACACCTTAAGGAGACAAACTGGGAAAGCGTAACCAGCATCACCATTCTAAGGTGAAGACAGAAAATCATTTTTTCTTTTGAAATTCACCACCAAAAGAAAATCAACTTTGTTCTTTTTTTTAAAAATAGGTGGAATGACCTGCATCACCTAATGGCCATAATTATATCCAGTAGGTACTTTAAAAACAAACAAACAAACTGTTATTTAAATTCCAGAGGCAACAAAGTGCAGGATCACGTTTTTCAAGAAATATACCCACTGCCCAGGCCTCCAGCATTTAAGGAGCAGAGATGAGGTGCCCAGTTGGCCTACAGTCTCCCCACGACGCCATGACATAATGATACTCGCTGGGCGCCTCATACGTGTGAAGCATCGTGCTGAACAGTTTCACATCCGTTATCATTTATTGTGACTATTACTGTTTTCCCATCAATTCCAGCCTTATTCAGAGGAGGAGCCAATACATAAGTGTCCCCCTTTATTCACAGGGGATATGTTCCAAGATCCCTAGTGGATGCCTGAAGCCACAGAGAGTACCGAACCCTTTACGTGCTTTTTCCTATACGTACATGATAAAGTTTAATTTATAAATTAGGCACAGTAAGGGATTAACAATAATAAAATAGAAAAATTATACTGTCATTAAAGTTACATGAACGTGGAGTCTCTCAAAGTGTCTTATTGGACTGTACTCACCCCGTGATGACGTGAGGTGATAAAATGTCCACGTGATGAGATGGAGCCGGGTGAATGACGCAGACATTGTGACATAGCATTAAGCTACTACTGACCTTCTGACCCTATGTCAGGAGGATCGTCTGCTTCCAGACCTTGGTAGACCACGGATAACTGAAACCGAGGAAAGGGAAACAGAGAAGTGGTGACTCCTGGACTACATAGTTATGGGGAAGAAAGAATATATGAAATAGAGGGAGAGGAAGCCAGACTAGTCACAGATTCTAACAGCCGGACACTTCTCTCAGAACTAGAAGAGTAGCAGGTGTTGAGAAAGTCCTTTTAGATGAAGAAAACGCTTTGGCTCTATGGTTGGGTGGGGCACCCATAATCTGTGGTAACTGCCAACTGCTCTTAGTTACAAACCACTGACTCCTTTCACCCTCTTCCTCTTAATATGCACCTGGCTAAAGAATTATATGTTCCTTGAGAACAAGAACTGTCCTATTTACGGTGGTTTCCCCAGAGCTTGGCATAAGGCTCTGGCATAAAAAAGATGCTCGATAAATCTCTGTTCACCGATAAGACCACAATAACAAAGACAGGTCCAAAATACTAAAGCACTATTCCAAACCAGTCAAATATGAAACTCTGCTAGTCTTTCCGTGAAAAACACATGTCAGTGTTACTGACCCGAACTTTCCATGGATTCTTGATACAACAGGACTACAGAAAACTTGCAGATGCATGTTTTTTTAAACCAACTTTCGAGTTGGAGCCTAGCAATGACTGACTTATAAAATCAACACCCATATGAAGCGATTACAAATCACCTGACGCGCCGGCAATGCGCAGTCTGGGCAGCCAGGGTTCTCTGAATCAATCTGGCACAGACGAAAAAGCAGGATGGCCAAAGAGGACTTTGTTTTCATTGACTCAAGAAGAGGAGCCACTAGTCAGAATTTGGTTTTCAAAATTCTCACCACAGCTTATCTGTCTCAAAGGGCAAACGAAGGGTTTAACTATAAAGCTGCCTCGCTTTCCCCCAGGAGGTAGTTAGTAGGTCACAGAATTTTTGCCTTGTAAAATATCAACCTTGGGGCAAAATCCAGACATTCTGGGTGATGTCAGAGCACCAGGTAAACCTCTAGTTCACTAAAACCAAGCCTGCACATAATTGAAAAACTCCAAAAACAGTTGGCCAGTCTCTTCAGTCCTAACTTCCCCAGGCTGCTTTCTCTTATCTTGACATGTTGGTGGAAGTCGAAGGGGGTCATCTAGGAAGCAGAACCTGGACAAGGCAGAAGATGAAACTCTCTCTGCTGTTTCTGGACACTCAGCAAGTTCAGCATGGACTGGGGGGATTGTGGGGGGAATGCCAAGGTCATATGCATTCAGTGAGGCTGTAATGACACTATTTTCTCAAACCTAGAGAGATGACAGATCTTCAAGAAACCTGACCCCCAAGAAGCAGTTCGACCCCTCTTGGGGTTCTAGCCTAACAGCTCTAGACACATCCAAAGGCCTTTCATGACAAGAAATTCTACAACACAAATTATCTCTAAAGTCAAAATTCCCTCTATGTGCCTCAATAGAAGGAACAGAACCACTAAAATTAATTCTCACGATGCCTTTCCACCTTATCCAGGCAAAACCAGGCAGGGGCAGGCAACATTTGCAGCCAGAGTTTATAGCAACTGAGGCCAGCCTGGAAATGAGACAGAAGCTCTGGCATCACTGTCCTCCCTCTGCAAAGCCTATCCTCTCTGAGTCCAAATTCAACCAAGCACTTGCCTCCTTTGAAGAGCTCAAGCTAACCCAGCATCTTCATTTCCTCACTCTCAGAGGAAAAGCAAAGTTTATCAATGGCAGCATGGTACAACAGAAGAAACATGAATTTTTACTTCTTAACAAGTCACCTACTTCCTCGGAGTCTTGTTTTCTTTTGGTAAAACAGAGACCAGAAAAACCATCTTACAATAAGAAAATATCCTATGTTCCCCCCACCCCCCCACAAATTTTCTCAGATCAGATGACCCTGAAAAAAGGGAGCCTTGGGAGCTTTTAGCTTGGAAGTTGGCCATGGGGCTAATTCTAGGGACCCAATACCACTGGTCTGGCTTTAGTCAAGACAAATCCAAATATAGGAAACACATGGATATGAAAATGACCTCCATTTTTTAAAAATAAAAAGAAATCAAAACCTTCCAGGCCTCCTGTTAAGTAAGCCAGTAGAGCCCTGTGGATTCCAAACTCAGTGAAAGAGAAGTTCGTGTGGACCAGTGCGAAAGTACCCAGCCTCTTCCGCACTGACTGCACAACCAGCCTGTGCAAACACTCATACCCAAAGTCAGTGGATGTCTCTGAGCCGGCACACAGGGCTGTGTGTGAGGGAAGACCCTTCCCATCCAGAGAGACAGCGCAGGCACCGCCTATTCACAGCTGCTCTCCCAGGATGCAGCAGAAGTCTTGCGAGAAGCTGCCACGCCCAAGGGACAGGGGTTGTAGGTGACAGTACCCGAGGAGACCGGTATGCTCCTGCCGTGTAAACTCTAAGCGGACACTGCCACACAGAGACCACGCCTGGACAACACAAAGACATCTGAGCAGGCTTCCCCTCAAACCAGCACACTCAGGAATGGAAGGCCTAGCTGCAGCAATTCAAAGAGGAGTAAAAAGAACAGCAACCAAACCCGGAAGAAGGAAGCACAGCAAAGAGATGGGGGCCACCTTGCGGGCCGGCCATTCTCCCTCAGAGAAGAATAGCTGGGCTGCATAGTTGCCCAAATGCAGCTCTTCATACGACTCTTTTTTTTTTTTTTTTTTTTTTTAAAGATTTTATTTATTTGACAGAAAGAGATCACAAGTGGGCAGAGAGGCAAGCAGAGAGAGAGAGAGAGGAGGAAGCAGGCTCCCTGCAGAGCAGAGAGCCCGATGTGGGACTCGATCCCAGGTCCCTGAGATCATGACCTGAGCTGAAGGCAGAGGCTTAACCCACTGAGCCACCCAGGTGCCCCTCTTCATACGACTCTTGATCTTGGGGTCAGGAGCTCAAGCTCCACGGTGGGTACAGAGTTAACTTTAAAAAAAATTAAAACGAAAAAACTGTTTAAATAAATAAACAAAATGCAGCTCTTCACATGCATGTCATCTCCTGTCGTAGCTTCTGGTTTCACCATTGTGGGGCAGACAGGGACGGGTGCTTCTAAGCCCATTCACAGACTCGCAGTAGCTAAGAGCTGAAAAAAGTTTCTGTGGCTTGTTCAGGGTCACAGCATCTCCTGAATGGATCATAAAGTTAAGTTTCCTCTCTTAACCCTCCATCACAATAGCAGGAGTAAGATCATTCAGCTACCTCCAAAAACATCCCTGTACCCCCAGCACTTAGCATAATGCCAGGTACATATTATATACCCGGTACCTTTGAGTTGAGTGAATGAATCCTACAGATGAATAAATGAGAAAAGGGCCTACTTTCTCCCTCCCTTCATTATCGCCATCCTACACAACAAAGAGGGAACATAACTTCAAGGAATGCACTGTGCCCATCCCAGGAGTCCTCAGGGAAGCCAACGTGGAAACCCATACAACTTCAAAGCCCACATGGTTTTTTAATGCCAAAGCTGTCATCTTAAGCAAATGCAGTGATACTACCCTTACGAAGGAAATGCAATTGTTAAGAAACAAAATTCAAGAAGGAGAAATTGTAGATACTTGGCTGCATTTCCAGCAGAAGGCAGGCTAACCTGCCTCTCTGTGCCGCAGCCAACCAACTGAGGAGGCTCCAGCTGGGGCACTATGTAAATGCAGCTTGAAGGGACACCTGGATTTCAAACTATGGAACAATATTTTCAAAACACCGATGTTTCACTGTTGGCATAAAAGAAATAAATTAAAAAGTCCAGTACATTTTCCAGTTTGATATAAGTTAATTCCAACGGCATATTTAAAATAGAGTCAATTATAAGTTTCTCTCATAAAATTTTAAAAGGCAACAATCAATCCTCAGATTGTACAAGTGCAAAGGAATGGTTATTTTCTCCATAATCAAGACACCTCAGTGTCTGTATACGAATTGCCAGTGTTTTCAGTTGATCAAAAACTTGGGCCTACGTCATCGAAGCAATCCTCTGGTCACACTGCTCCTTTCCCCTTAATGTCCAGCTTGTTACTGGCCTCTGACTGTTTGCTCAGCTGCTCTTCAGAGAAAGTGATGTAGGAATACACCAGGCTCCCTGCAATGCTGCAAAACAGAAAACCACCATCAGGGAGGAGAGAAGGAAGGAATGGCGAAGGTATGGGGGACTAGTGTTGAGGGCTGGAGTTACCTTCATAAACCAACAGCACGTAAAATTAAAACATACAGTGTTTTCAGCTATCGAACAAGAGATGCTCCCTCACCATCGTATCACGCCCTGCTGCTGATGCTCTGAGGAAATAAATGTGTGCACGTACCTGCTGGCAGGAGTGCCAATTTTATACCACCCTTCTGGAAACCATTTGTTGAAGTAAAAAAAAAAAAAAAAAAAAAAAAAAAACTTAGGATTCTGCTTCTCCTTTGAGCAATCTACTTCATGGAAGAATTGTATACATCTTCATAGACTTACCAAGAAAGAGTTTGCCACAAAATTTATAATAGCAGAAAATGAGGTAAAGGATAAATGTCCCAAGAGAGAATTACATAAATGCGTACAATAGAATATGATGTATTTCATAAAATAATATAAAACAAAAATGGCAATGACATCTTAAATGAGAAAACAATCTCACAAAACATGAAGTATTGTCTAATCCCATTATTTAAGTACACACTACACTAATATGCATCAGAATGAAGTCTAGAGACAACACAAGAACATTTATGGTTTTTACATCTAGATGGTGAGATCATAGGTGATTTTTTAATTTCTATTTTCTGTATTTTCAAAAATAATCATTCAAGACAAAGAAATGTAATTTTTAAGGATAAAAAACATCCCAATTGGTAAGTAAACATGCAGACCCTGGGAAATTCATAGAGCTAGTTTCTCTCTGACTAGAATCAAGTTCACAGTGCAGAACCTCTCATCTGAGCCCTCTGCCTCTGAGCTGCTTTCTGGTACCCCTCACTTATCCACCACACTGACCACCCGGAGGGAAGGCGTGCGTGAGGGACAGTGATTACACTTGCCAATTCTCTGTAGTGACCTCAAATCCACATGGGATACACAGCTCCCTGCCCCAGTCACCAACTGAAAGTAAACTGGGGGAGCTCATCACAGAGACATTAGAGACTCTGCTGCTAAGCCTGACACCTTTGACTCTCTTGGATCTCCAGTTGGCATCTTGGCCCCACTTCTGCTTTCAGATTCCTCCCAGATTTGGCTCCCCACCTTTTGCATGACCACATGACTCATGAACTTACACCTTGTTTGAAATTGGTTCTATTCTCGGGGCACCTGCGTGGCTCAGTCGGCTGAGTGTCTGCCGGGTCGTGATCCCAGGTTCTGGAGATGGAGTCCCACCTGGGGCTCCCTACTCAGTGGGAAATGACAGAAGCTCAACATTCTTTGAGATTCACATGTACATATACAGGACAAAGTCCCCTTTGCCTCCAACCCTGCCCTCCCCTCACCACAAAGTAGGATTGCTCCTTTCTTCCTTTCATTCTTTCCTCTAGGGTCCTCCTTCCACAACAACCTCAAATATAACAACGGTTTCTTTATTTTTCCTGTCAAGACATTCTCTGATCTTTATATTAAGCTGATTTCACTTGGAGAGAAATAATAGAGCAGTGGAGGATTGAAGAAGACAAAGAATACCCTGGAATTTCTTCTAGGCCTCATCCTTAAGATGACCCTGTACCCTACATCCCTAGCATAGTTGGTGTATTGAAAAAACATGGGCTTTGTGGAGTTAGGTCTTGAATATACTACTAGCTCTGTGTCCCTTGTTAATTTCTCTGAGATTCTATTTCTGTATTAATAAAATAAGAATAATACTCTCTATAAATGAGATCATATACATAAAGAACCCAGGCCTTGATCCTGGCACATGGTAAAACAACCAGGAAATATATATTCCTTCCCCGCCCTTCCCTGTCAGCCTCGCTATTCACAGACTAAAGGGGATGCACCGTTAACAAAGGTAGGGTGGTATCATAGGGAGACTTGACCTGATGCAAGAGGAGGGTACACTGTTGCTACAAAGCTGTTTGAACAACCAGAGCAAAATCAAAACACAGAGACTCCTATTCTAAACTCTGGAGAAAGGGCACAGACTTTTCAAATCCTTACATGTTCCAACATGAGGCAATAATAAAAGATTTTTCACCTCATCTTTATTCCTGACTTTATCAAATATGCACATTTTCAGAAATGGCCATTTCCAAATGGTCTGAAGAGAACTGAGTATCCATCCACAAGGATCCTGTGAGCCGAGCAGTGGTGAATGAATGTTTTGGAAAGGAATCTAAATTGCTTCATAGCAGCTTTGGGCATGTGAGCAAACTTCAAGGAGGGGGAAGAGGAGGGAAGAGAAAAGAAAGGGAAAAGCCCAAATTGAGGGTGGTGGGTCTATATGAATCTTTATACATCAATACCAAATGGCTGGGAATTAGGATCTTCTACAGATTCAAACAAAAAACTTCTCCATCTATTGGTTCTGTAAATGTTCACATTAAAGATGATGACTTCTGATACTCTGGACTTGTTATTTATATATTTGACCATCCTACATACTCATTTTTTTAAATCTCAAGCAATTTTCCCCCTGCCTAATACTCAGATCACAGTACTATCATCTCTGAATTCACTGAACCTGTGACAGACACAGCCGGGAACTGAACAGGAGAGAGATACCAGGCTTCAGTTAGAATACTGCAAGGCTGGGCCACTCCACCCACTCTGACCACATCTCATCTTCCCGAGCCAGGCAGACACAACCTACCTCTTCTAGATCCACAGCCACGGACCTATTTACTAGCCTCACTTAGAGATAACCATTCTACAAACAGATGCTGAAATGCCTTCCATATGGCAACTCCATGGTCAGGGAGCAAAAGTCTAAGATCCAGGCTGTCTCCATCTCCTCTCATAGAGGACATGTCTGCTCATGTCTAGCCGGGCAGCTCTGCCTCTCAGACTGGACTCTGCCTTCTGTATTTCACATGTAAAACATGTCAATCTACACCAAAACCTGTGACCCAGGGCAGTGTGATTTTTACTGCTATTTCCTAACATACAGTAATTCCTGCCATGTAACAGCAACTGTACCTCTGGCTGCATCCTTCCTATACCCCATCTTGACCCCCACACAGCAGCTGCTGGGGAGCCTTCTTTCCTCTTTCTCACCAGCCAAATAAAGCAGAGCTGTGTTACCTCTGTATATATAACCTTCCAAAGCTTTCCAATCTGAACAGAGAGAGGCACAGAGGTGAACAGGATTGACTGCTGACCTTGACATTCACAAAGGTCTATGATGGGAGACAAGTTACTTACCCTCTCAGAGCCTCGGCTCTGTGAAATGAACCCATCTGGGAAATGGCGATTAGAATACCACTTTTAGAGGACTGAAGGGCAAATTAAATTATATAATTTATTTATACAACAAGAGGCTAAATAAAATTATGTGTTAATTTTATAATTCAAATTCTATACTTAAATTATATAATGGACAATAGATCATTTCAAAAAGCTAATTAGCATACAGTAAACATCAGTCAAAGTCAACGTCAAAATGCCAAGGCACATCAGGAGCTAATACTGCCAAAAAAGCAAACAGAAGCAACAGGTTTTGCCAACTGCGGCTTTTCTTCATCTTCATTTTCTGTTCACCCAGAAAATCCAGGAGTCCTAGGGGTAATAAGGCCTCTTGTCTTTGGTCATCCCAAAGAGGCCTTGCTTATACTGAGTGAACAAGCTTTGACCTCACCTCTATGACCTGCAGTTGAGCAGTAACTCGCACGGTGTCTTCTGAGCCAGGTATTCCTCATTCCTGGGTTAGGAGACACTCGAGGCAGCTCACACTTGGGGGCCGGTCTATACCACCCTTGTGAGGTCCCTTACTCCAGCCATCCCAGAGTACCTGCTGCCCATCCCCAGTCTCCCATCCAACATCTGCACGGCTGGCTCCATGCTTTTGCTCATGTAGTACTCAATGACTGGAATAAGCCCCTTCTGTTTTCTGCCTCCTCAAATCCTACCTACTGCTCAAGGCCGCCCCTAAGGAGCCTTTCCTCTATGCAGCTTCCCAAGCGGACAACCACAGCCTTATGACAGGTACCAGTCTGGACAGCTACTTTGTGACACTTGCGTGATGACAGCTATGGAACGCTCTCAAGAGAATGTAGAGAAGTACCTCATCATTGCTGTTATTAAGGCCATATACATTCCTAATGTTATAATAAATGCTTTATGATTCCTACATGCATCAAAGCCATTACTGTTAACAATCTTCACTCTTTCCCTCCTCCTTGCACCTTATCTCAACACTGGGCAAAGGAGTCCTGTTAAAACTAAATCAGATCATGTCACTCCTTTATACAAAATCCTCCATCTTACCCTCTCTTAAAAGCAGTCCCCAATCTATCACCCCACCCCATTACATGCATGGCCCCATCTCACCTCATCCATGCTACTCCCACCACACTGGCCTCATTTGTTCCCTGAACATACCAGGCTACACTCCCACTTCAGGCTCTTTTCACTTGCTCTTCCCTCCAGAAATCCATGTGGTTCATTCCCTCCATTTTATAGGTATTTACAAGTATAAGTATGCCCGCCCCCTGCAATACTCTTTAATCCCCTTTCCTGCTTTATTTTTCTGCATTTATCATCACAGCTAACACTGATTACCCATTCATTTTTTTGTCTCCTCTACTAGAAGGAAAACTCCATGAAGGGCAAGGGTTTTGATAGCAGCTCTATCCCCAGTGCCTAAAACAATGTTTAGCAGGTATCAACCATTTATTTGTTTATGAATAAATGAATCTTCCCAGCTAAATTACAAATTCCCTGAACAGAATTAGTCTATGGCTTTGTATACACTAAGTCATCACTTTCTTTAACATATGCACAGACTGGGTTCAATAATTCTGATTCTTACTCTGCCTACCAAAGGAGACAGGAGAATAGAGACTAATCAGTGGTAAGGCAGGCGATAAGCAAAGAGGCTCTGGGAACTGTTGAAACAAAGGGCAGGCCATTTGATCTCTTAACACACGTGGCCTCAAATGGCTAAGTCACCCGGCATATTTTTCTAGTC